TTTCTCTACACACGTACATAATAAATTATAATATAAATATTGATCGCGAACGAGAAGAACAATTGAATTAAAGGAAATCTATGGTTGATTTCAAAGAGAATAGAAATTTAATTTAATCAAACACAAAATAAATTTAATTTTAAATCTTTCTATACTTTCTACGAAGTTACATTATTATAAATATATACTCACTCGGCGACATATGAATGCTCTAGTGCTTCGACTGCTGTAAACCGTTGCGTGGGATTGAAAACTATCAAATTGCTGATAAGGTCCAAAGCTTTCTCTGACACTTCTGGCAACAAATCTTTTAAAGTTCTTCTGGGTCTGTTGGGTGTTTTTTCTAATAAATTAGTTCCATAACCGGCGCTGACCGATATTAGATCTGAAAAAATTATTGGAAAGGATCCAGTTATTAGTTTTTTTTTTCTTCATTTTATTAAACAGTTAAGAGAAAAATTACCTTCGTCTGTCGGTGGAGGTAACGTTACCATTATTCTCTCAACTTGATTTATTGTTGATGAACCGGGAAAGAGTGGCTTCCCAAGTAACATTTCGCCGAGAATGCAACCTAAAGACCACATATCTATCCCCTTTGTATATCTAAAAATATTTATATTGCCATGTGGATGATAGAATCTGATTCTTGCAATATCTAAACTTCGCGTATAAAAAAAATTCTAATTACCCAATTATACAGGGATACAACATTAAATTCAAGCATTTATGACATAAAAGTTTGGAACAAATATAGATACATATAGATACGCGTATTTTTTATAATATTAAATCCTATCACAAATTATTATAAATAAATTATATTTTTTTATAATATTGAAGACTATTATAAATTATTGAAAGAGAGAAAGAGAGAGAGAAAGATCGTTTTTTTTAAATTAATAACCATAAGTTTGCACAATAAAAATAACTCTTTCCGAATAATCACTTTCCGAACAGAAGTAAGTCGAAATGAATATTTCAGTTCTGTTACAATTACAAAATTTTAATATTGCACTTTATGTTCCATTTTAAATAAAGATGTACCTCTTTGAAGCTATCAGAATCTCTGGTGCGCGATACCACCGTGTAGCGACGTAATCCGTCAAAGTTGGATCATTTCCTGTCTCACCATCACCTTCGCCGATCTGTGTAACCGAGCGTGCCAGACCAAAATCCGCAATCTTACAATGGCATTGCGCATTTAAAAGAACATTGGACGGCTGCAAAGAAAGAATAACGCAAACTCGACATAAAGGAACAGTGTATTTTTTCTATCATGAACAAATACGATAAATTAAAAATTTGATATGAAAAAGGTAAAAAAATTAAAAAGATTTCACATAAAACCAAAAAAAATATTCTTCAAATTTATGTGATTTAAAAGTTCACAATTAAAAATGAAATTAAAATTATATAAAATTTTCTAAAGATATTCTTTTAGTACGAATTAATTAATTAAAAATTAACTGGACTTTTTAAGAACACTTTTAAATCATAAGACTCACCTTCAAGTCTCGGTGGATAACGTTGCCTGAGTGTATGTACTTGATCGCCTTAAAAAGTTGGTACATAATGAAGACCTTATGGATGTCCTTGAGGATGTTGCCCCGCTTAATGACGTTGTGGAGATCGGTTTCTGGGGAAACGGGCCGAAACGTGTTTCAGGCCAAAAGTCTGAGAATCGGCGCACATGGCGTGACCTTCGTATGCGTATGTGTGCGAATTCTTCTTCGGACCGGGTAAAACTCACCCATGTACTCGAAAACGAGGTAAATGTCCCGATCGTTGTCCGCCTTATGCAGTCCGATCAGCTTTATAATGTTCTCGTGATTGGCGAACGACAGTAAGAACATAATCTCGCGAAACGTACGTTGCGCATCCGTCTGATTTCTGAAGGCGTCAAAGATCTTCTTCACCGCGACGGTGTCCTTCCTTTTCTTTTCGATTGCCTTCCATACTATACCATAAGCCTGTATAAAAAAGAAGAATTAAACAATGTTACTGTCATTGTTATAGAAAATCTATCAAAAAAAAAAAAGAAATTTTTTATTATCCTCGCATATATTTCTTATTAAAATTATAATTACTCAATAAATCCTTAATAATATTTATACAAATGTACATTTAATATAGATAAAAATTATATATAAAATTGTTTTATATATAACTGGTACGTTTTCTATTTCACTTTTTCTATTTCACTGATTGGAATTATCTCGATGTCGTAAAATAAGAATAAACAGTACTAAACACAAGTTATTGCATAAATTTGCGTTATTATGATGTAAATGAGATTGCAACCTATCATCAGATATAAATTATGTAAATAGATGTCTAACAAAAATTGACTTGCGGTACCACAATCCGTTTGCCATCGTTATCGTTGCGACGGCGACATTATCGATTGTCTCCAACTTTACTTTCCTGAGGTAGATAATCATGACGATTATTGATGATATCTTCTTTAAAAGGAAAATGTTGGAAAACGTTGATATAATAAAAATTTTTATCGTATAAATTTTATTTCGTGTACATCATATAATATTAATGTACATACTATGATTTCATTTTCTTATCAAAGTTTTATTATCTTACGTTTTTTATTATCATGTATGTTTTATTATCTTATTATTATCAAGATAGCAATAAGCAATAATTATGTAAAAAAATAATTTTAATAAAATTAAACTAAAAAATATAAAATAATCGACAAAATATTACACACGAAGCAATTGTAGAAAAATTATTGAGATAAATTTGATAACAAAAAAAATCGGTTGATTTCTGAAAAAAAAATTCTAAAATATTAAATGACATGAAAATATCGAATATATATACAATTTATTTTCCGTCAAACTGTATATATTTATCATAATTAAAAATTTCATGTTTATCTGAAATAACCGCGAATAATATATATATTATTCTTACAATTTCATATTTCTCCTATAATTTATATATTAACAAATAACACACATCAATAACGACATCTGAATAAAATATGACTTTTGATAAAATTACAATTAATTTAGATGAGCATATTTTACTGTAAATCTACGTATTTTTATTTCGCATAGGGGATAAAGGTATACATTCGAAATTAACTCGTTTCCACGACATGCGCAAAATTATCTTATATGCCATCCTACATGCTAGAATAAACGGAGAGGATAACGTTATTACCCCTTTGCCGAGACGTCGCACAATGTCGTATTGTTTGTTGATATGTGCATCAATCTCGGAGATCTTCTCCGTAGCCTTTTTCCCCGACATTGTCGCAGCAGCGATGCCGTCGACGAAACTCTCAAGTGAAGACGTGGTTCCGGAACGAGGGAGAGTCTTCGCAAGTAAGAGAGTCTTTCGGGCGGACACGGAGACAAGTGCGAGCCGTCGCGGTGCATTCACATCTTCGTACATCAAACGTGCGACCCTCGGTCGAGGAAATTTTTTTCACGCGACCCTCGACACGACAATGTGTGCCTTTGTTTACGGAACTGATGGCAGTTGCCGAGGCGACCGTGTCCACGGTTGCCAGCGATGTCGCCTGCATAGATATATGTATATTACACATTGACCGCGAGCGAAACGTTCGTCGGAGACACATATAGAAATGTGGAAAAAAATTAAGATTAAAAATTAATAATAATAAATATATGTTGATATCTTTTTCCTTTCTCTTGTTTCACTTTTTTAGTGTTTTATGTAAAAATTTATTTTTTATCTTATACTTTAAAAATGAGATACGAGAAATTCATGTTATAAATAAATTTTTTATAAGCTATATATATAT